ACGTCTCATTCTCGGTGCCTCTTCTCAGATGATGCAGCAGCTCTCCGGCTGCAATGCTGTCATCTACTACTTCCCCATTCTCTTCCAGAAGTCCATCGGTACCGATCACAACCTGGCTCTCCTCCTCGGCGGTGTCAACATGATCATCTACTCCATCTTCGCTACAACCTCTTGGTTCGCTGTTGAGCGCGTCGGTCGCCGCAAGCTCTTCCTCATTGGAACCGTCGGCCAGTGCTTGTCGATGATTCTATCTTTCGGCGCGCTTATTCCCGGTACTGCCTCTGCTTCCAAAGGTGCTGCCGTCGGCCTCTTCACTTACATCGCGTTCTTCGGTGCCACTTGGCTGCCCCTCCCTTGGCTCTACCCCGCTGAGATCAACCCTCTCAAGACCCGCGCGAAGGCTAACGCCACCTCCACCGTCTCCAACTGGCTCTGGAACTTCTTCATCGTCATGATCACTCCCGTCATGATTCATGGCACTGGCACCAACGGCTGGGGAACCTACGCTTTCTTCGCTGCCATGAACGCTATCTTCTTCCCCATCATTTACTTCTTCTACCCCGAGACGTCTGGTCGCTCTCTCGAGGAAATTGATCTGATCTTCGCCAAGGGCTACACTGAGAAGAAGAGCTACGTCACTGCCGCTAAGGAGCTTCCTCCTATGGAGGATCACGAGGTTCATGAGAAGGCTCGTGAGTATGGCTTCGGCAGTGACGATGACATCAAGGTGTCTCACTCCGAGTCTGAGCGCGAGAACGGAGTCATGACCGACTCTGCTGTCTAAGGTCGAACTGGCATTCGACATTCTGTTCTAGCTTGCTGGAACCAAATCTTTTGCTTATTATCATGATTTGACGCATCTATAGAAGCTACGATTGTAGCTATGACCTTTTAGATACTCCCATGACTCTAGTAGTCTAGCATGAATACATATCTTACAGAAATTACCACCGTTTGATGTTTGTGACTGTTTGCCTGAGACATAACTGTGTACTGCATCTGTGCAAACTCGCCAACAGCTAGGCCATTGCATCACGGTCAGTTTGTGCAGATCATCGGAAACTTACGCGTTGTGTGAGCGCCTAATGCTGCAGGATGCAGTGGCCGGACCAAAATTCGGTGAAATAGCCTATTGGCTGGTCGGAGACTTTCATCATCCAGCAGGGTCCTGGTGGAGCTTCGGTGTCGATCTACAAGATAAGACTCCCTCGAGATTACCAAACAAACATAAGGCAGGATCTTAATGGTGTATGAGGGATATTTATTATCAGATAGCTGAGGCATAACGATTATACCTTCTCTGCTACCTAGACATCTATCCAGCGAGCCATCCATGTCTGCGTAACCTGCTTCGCCTCATCAACGAGTCCCAAGTCCAACAACAACTGAACACTGCCTCTAACCGCACTCTCAAGCGCACTGAAAATCCAAGTATGCGTAAAAGTGGCTGCCTCTCCAATGAAAACAGTATTGAACTCCGTCTGGTAAAACGCAGGGAGATATAAATGCTGCTGCGCAAAGATCTGCATCGTAAAAGCACCAGCATGATGCTCATCATTTTCCCAACAATGACGTTTGTATGTACCCACCCAGTTTTCTTCGACTACATCGCCGTGGATTTCGATCAGGGCGTTTTTTATGTAGGCTAGATGTTCCTCCTCGGACATGGCGCACGCGACTGTTGCTTCGTAGTCGGACAGATAAGATGCCATCATTGTTCCAGGGCCTGTTGAGTTGATATTCCACGAAGGATAACAGACCTGGCCTAGCTGAGGGCTGGTGATACGAGTACAGCCGCCAAAGATAGGGCGATCAAGATGTTCCCAGAAGCGCGTCTTGAACTGAACAGCAACCTTGCAAGCGTTGGCAAACAAGGTCCTATCGATGGCGCGCTTGAGAAGGCTTGAGTATCGTGGCATCTTCCAAAACTTCATCAAGTTGAGCGGTACGCTGTTAAGAACATAGTCAAAGTTCTCGACATTGTTCGGCGTGCTGAATGGCTCGGAGCCAGTGGGCTTCCAAGAGACAGATAGAGTTTTGTTCTCGTTGTAGTGCAGGCCGTTGATTTTGGCGTTGTACTGAACTCTGTCTTTGATGTGCGGCTCAAATGCAGCAGGTAATCGGCTCAGCCCTCCTTTGATGGTGACCCATTTACTAGCGAGGAAGTAAATGGTTTCGTATTCCCACATAGGCCAGTAGATATGCGAGGGCGTGACTTCATCTGTTGTGTTGAGGTCTGCCTTGATCACATCTCGAAGGTAGGAAACCTCGGAGTAATCAAACCCTCCATCTTCTTTGGCTTGCTTGTACGCTTTGAAGATATTGGTGGCAGACATACGAATGCGCTCCGGAGTAAGACCTTTGAAGTCATCCAAAGCCTCGATAGCTTCCTCAGCGGCTGTCGCATTATGGTACACAGGCGGGTTTTTGTATGCTGGGTCACTCGCCACTTCAGCCTTGGTAGGCCATGAACCATCTGGGCGTCTGAAAGGCGTATCGACAGGTGTATTTGGCGAACTTTGGATCCAGTCCCAGAACTCAACTTGAAGCGACTTGTTACCTGCGTTCATTCCGTTGAGAACGTCAGCTAGCTGGAAGATCATTCGTTGGTCCATGAAAGGAAATGTCTCGTTGGTCTCCGAGTCCGTGAGCTCGTAAGGAAATCTCATGGGCCCAAGTTCATGGTATTGGCCGTCTTCTGGGGAGGTACCGTTCAAGTAGACAGTTCTAACGCGACCACCAATTCTTTCGGATGACTCGAGGATCTTCCAGTTGTGGATGCCGACAGAGTCAAGGATAAGCTTAGAAATGCACAGTTAGCTTTGCGTTCAACTGCAAAAGGCATTTTACTTACAGAAGTTAAAAGTCCAGACATGCCACCACCCAAAATCCCAAAGGTCTTGTTCTTTGTGGCGGTGACAAAACAGTCATCAGGTTGCTTCTGCTTGAGATACGCAACGCCATCGAACCACAGACTGTCGTCACCAGCAACGTCCGCAAACGACTTTTTCTTTTCGCCTCGGCGCGCAAGGCGCTTGACAACGTCGAGCTCATCAGACTGGCCGATAAGTTCTCCGTCCAAGAAGGCACTGAGGCAGCCGCTCGAGATATTGTCCGATGTCAGCCAGACAAATCGTGTTGGCCGCTTGTCCTGGTGATCTACATGGCGCTTTGCTAAAGGATGCTGGCCAACGTGCGTCGACCCGATATGATGCACAGTCTCTGAGACAATTGTCTCATCCCCGCATGCGCCATAACTCAGGGTCAAGTGTCCATCGACATCGCCGCTGTACTCAACAACAACGTTTTGTGCGCTGCCGGGGCTGACTTTGGAGGGAGATATGAACTTGACAGAAGGGGAGTTGAGGGGCACTGCATGGGCAAGTAACCCATGCAGGCTCGTTAGAGACCATAGAACAGTAAAAGTTCTCATTTTCGATACAGAGTCAGGTGAATTTGAAAAATCTGGTAGAACATAGTGTCACAGGGACACAGTCTCCTTTAAATAACTTCGCGAGCTGCCATTCTTATCTTACGGCCTTGATATATCAATTCAGGCCGACTCTCTGTCAAGGTTAATCTAACCGACCATGCTTGGCAATACGTAAAGAAATAATGCCTCGCGATGCTATCATGGCCGAGTCACTGCCAAGCAACTATTTAACTGTATTTTTCTTTAGCGGTGGGGGCAAACTAGTTCCCAGCCCACCGGGTGTACCGGTTTTCTGGATAAACATTAATTAGAGTTGACGAACAAACAAGCTTATTGTGTAGCGCAATGCATGTTCTCCGGGCTTACCGAGATAAGAGATACACCGTTGAGATGGGTTGCTCGAATAGGCAAGGGGATCCCCGAAGTCGGCCGCTTATCAGTTCGGTTCACTACCCCGACTTGTTTGAGAAGATCTAGGACAGGGGCATAGGGCGATAAGGGCTTTGTCTCCCACTTTCGGAGCATCAACCTTGATGGTATCAAGGGCAGAATCAGAGCAGTTAGTAAGGGAAACACAACTACTTTAGTCAAAGACTTGGCGGTTGACTGCCTTTTGTACTGCTAGCGACCGGATTGGAACTGTTCTTAGCCCAATCATCAATCATTATGCTGCCGAGAAAATGCACCTTACTGAACACCCTTATTCGACAAGACGGCATCTTCACTGGACATACCAGTCTCTGCTGTTGTCGCATCTGCATTCTCAGTTGTCCCTCGAAGCGCATTGGGAGCATATGGCTGCTTCCAGTCATCTCGGCGCTCAGGTACAATAAACACGTTAAACTACCGGGAAACACAAAACCAATTACACACCAGACAAGTAGGAGATGCGCAATGATGAAGCCAAGGATGTATAGAGAGGATCGTTCTTGACTTCCTTGAAGCTGGGGTAGCACGCTGACGATGACAGCCAGGATTGGGCCCGAGACGTTTTTAGCATTGGTGTCCAGAGGAATGGGAGGGACCATATTTTACCATTGCCGATGGCTGAGTTGAGATCATCTCTTAGCTGGTTGCCCTAGAGTGCGCACACATATTGATTGGTTTCTTAAAAATCGACTAGGCAAACCCACCGAGTAAAAGCCAAGACACTGATCGCTATCGACCACCTGATGTGAGTATATAAAAACCACGACAAATTAGTGGCATGCTTGTAGTATGGAGCGCAGTCGGCTTCAATCCAGGGATTGGGCGTAATGCCAGGTCCATATTAGTCTAAAAAGCACAATGCATGAAATATGAGTGATGAAAGCACTTCAAGGGTGCTGAATGCTGTAAAGATGTCACACGACCGAGAACTTGCATAAGACTCCTCGACTTTATTGGTTAAATCATCGATTTTCAACCCCCCCCCAGCATTGCGGCTGAACTGGGCTTACTCCTGTCTCAGCCTCACCAGGCATACCCCACGCGTAAGCACGACAATAAAGAAACATCGCGTTGCTACATCACAGCGAACATAACTGTTTAACTTGTTTGACGTCTTTGGCTGCGGAAGAAAGATATCATGGAGCCAGTCGGACTCGCAGTTGGCCTTGTCGGCCTCTTCAGCACTTGCATGGATGTTATGCAGCGGATTGACTCATACAGAACCGCTGACCGCGACTCGCGACAGCTCGACGCCCAGCTCAATGCGACCATGCATCTCTTCGAGCGATGGGGTGACGGTGTCGGCATCAGTAAGGGCAAGCTCTCGGACACACATCACCCGGATCTTGATAACCCGCGCACGTATGCTGTGGTCCAGGGTCTGCTGAACAGCATCAAGGATTTCTCCACGAATTTGAATGAACCCTCGGGCCCCAAGGGCCTTCAGAAAACTCCGTCGTTTCCAATGTCGGGAGATGTGTCATCGAATGGCTCTAAGATCTCCAGGTGGCAAAAGACGGCATGGGCACTACGCGGAAAGCTGAAGCAGACAAGCCATGTCCAAGCACTTGCAGGGCTTGTATCAGATCTCTTTAACGTTATTTCCCTCGATACGACGCGCGCGAACGCCTTGACACGAACTCCGAGCTTCAAGGATCTATCGTTAAACTCGGGCGAGCAACCATATGCTGTCGAGATTCGGGAGCTGCTACAGAAGATAGAGGAGGAGATGGAGGGTAAGTGCTTTGCTTATCAGGACTCACTGGCCAGGCTAACATGAATTAGCTGATAGAATACGTGATTTACACGTGTGGCTAGCAGCTCCGCCGCTAAATGATGTGTTTAACGACTCAAACGACAAGCGTGTTGAAAAAACATGCGAATGGATTCTCCATCGCGATGAGTTCCTAGAGTGGCAGAAGCCTTCTTCCTCGTCCAAATTACTCTGGATCAAAGGCCCAGCTGGGTTTGGGAAAACAGTCCTTTGCGCCAGAATTGTTCAAGAGCTCGAAAGAACAGCACAAGAGCCCATTGCGTACTTCTTCTTATCGTCAAGATATGCTGGCCGGGACGATCCTTTCTCAGCCATCCGAGCATGGCTGACTATATTGATCCAACGCAGCTCACTGGCCCGAGACATCGTGGCCACGGTCCGGCTATCGCAGCATGAGCCAATGGCGAGCCAGGCAACCATACTGCGAGCTTTCCGCGAAGTTATCGTGGGCGCTCCAGGCTGCGTTCTTGTTCTGGATGGGTTAGATGAATGCACTGGGATGGCCAATACAGACAGAAAGTCCGTTCCTCATTTTCTTCAGGAGTTGCGAATAGCTATTACGAATACTACAGCCAAAATCCTCATGTCAAGTCGTGGCGACCCCCTCATTCAGCAAGGCCTTTCAGATTTCACCGGATGCACTGAATATACCATCATTCCAGAGGATGTTGGGCCAGATCTAATGGCATACTCGTCTCAAATGGTCAGAGCAAAGTTGCCAAATACAGATGAAGCAACGAGAGCCTCTATTGCTCAAAAGATGAAAAACAGAAGCGAGGGTCAGTTCCAGTGGGTCAAGCTGCAAGAAGGGTCTCTGAGAAAGGGACGGAGCAGAAAGCAACTTGAACGGGAGATTGATGAGACTCCATCTGGTCTTGATAGTCTCTACGACCGGGAATGGAATAGGATCAACTCAATGGGGGACTCGGATAAAGATCGAGCACTTTCACTGCTACGATGGACCGCGTTCCCGGCCAGACCGTTGACAGTGTACGAGATTACTGAAGCCGTCCTCATAACAGATGACATGGACGAGTTCCCTTTCGATGAGATGCCAGATTGTGTCGACCAGGACTATGTCGACAGTATGATCCTAGAGCTTTGTGGATCACTGATTGAAGTCCGGCACGTTTCTTCATCCGGGAATGTCGAGCATCCCAAACGTATTCCAGAATCCGAAGATGAATCTGTTGGTTATCAAGAGGTTCACTTGTCGCACTTCTCTGTCAAAGAATACCTCCTCCTCAAGACCTTTCCCGGCACTAGTACTTTGTTCTCAAATGAGAAACTCCGCACCGCCAATAGAAACTTTCACAATATTACTCTAGCAAAATATTGTCTTTATTTCATAAACCTCCCTGGGGCTTTTGAAAGAATAAAGATAAATAACAAAAAGAAATTAGCAAAGCACTTCATATTTTATGCTGTGGATGAAGTTTTGCCGCATTGCCGAGACGCTAAGGCTGTTGACCTGGAGTTACAACAGGCAATCATTGCTTTCCTCGATAGCCGCAACGAGAACTGGCCCATTGTGAAAGAGTTCATGGAGACCGAGCTGCTAGGTGATGACCCTGATTTTCAAGACAGTTCAATAAGCCCATTTGTACTTGCAGTCGGCAGTGGACTCACACACGCTGTGGCGCACCTCATACGAGAAGGAAGCTTCGATATGGAGGATCGATCGTTTGCCAATCGCACCCCGTTGTTCTGGGCTTGCTTTGTCGGAAGTAAGGATATCGTTGAATTACTGGTTGACAATGGTGCAGACATCAATGCCAGATGCCTAGATGGCCAAGTACCACTGCACATCAGTGTGGAGAATGGGAGCAACGAAATTACAGAACTTCTTATTTCGAGAGGCGCCCATGTTTCAGTGGTTGACGATGAGAGACAAACACCCCTTAACCTAGCTTCAATGAGTGGCAATACAGAAGTGGCTCAGCAGCTTATTGATAGTGGAGCTGATATATCACACGAAACAGCAGATGGCTTCACACCACTCTCGATGGCTTCTAGCAGAGGACATGTTGAATTAGCCAAGCTTCTTATCCACAGGGGTGCGGATGTCAATCAAGTTTTGGCCAATGATTGCCGCCCGCTTCTTCTCGCTGTGTGGAACAACCAGTCAGAACTTGCCGGGTTACTGATAGACGAAGGTGCGGAACTCGATGGGATTCAACTCGACGGCCGGATGTTCTCATTACTTTCTGTGGCGGCTGGTAATGGACATCTCAATACAGTGAAAGCTCTGATCAGCAAGGGATGTAGTCCGACGGAAGCCCAGCCATTGCTTCTGGCTGCCTCCTATGGTGGTTATCGTGAATTCTCAAGCGATTTCGACGCAAAAGAAGCTACTGAATCGCCTGATTTCCCTCGCTCAACTTATCGCCAGATACTGGAACTATTACTCCAAAGCGGCGCTGATGTGAACGCCTGCGACGAAGATGGAGACTCGCCACTCCATATGGCTTCATTAATCGGTTCTACAGACATGGTGGAGAATCTCATTAAGAATGGTGCTGACGTGGATATCAAATCAGCTTCTGGAGTGATGCCACTTCATTATTCCTCCACGATGGGGCATTTGCGAGTAACACAGCTTCTTATACAACACGGAGCTGATGTCGCCTCTAAAGACAATATTGGTCGTATTACTTTACATCATGCCTGTATATCAAGACATCTTGGGGTTGCCAAACTAATTATAGCGTCATCCCAGCCGCAAAAGCTTGACGAGGCTGACCACTGGGGCTCGACGCTCTTGTCCGTTGCAGCGAGATATGGTGGTATTGGCATCATTAGGGCACTTATTAATACAGGAGCTGTAAACGTGAAATCCAGCGATAAGTTCGGCAGGACGGCGGCGTGGTGGGCAAGCCGCAACTACGATGCAGTTGCGAAACTACTGTCCGGAACAGATGGGCATCGAGACCTGGGAACTGACGCACATGACGGGGAGGCTGTCCAGGACCAGGGGCTAGAGACGGGATTCTACTGTGACATATGCTGGTTAAATATTTCTGGACAGACTCATTTAGGCTGTTCAGTTTGTAATGGTGGGAACTTTGATGTGTGTGCAGCTTGTCTGAGCCTTGGCGGGCACTGCATGGATGAGACACATCAGTTGGTTCAAAAAGAATTTGAACCAGAAAGCTAATACAACAGTAAGACGCACATTATGTATTACTGACGCATCATACTTGGGGATACATTAATGAAATTCAGAATATAACGTACCATTGGTGTAGTGTTTGGCTCCTCATGCATGTGAGTCGATAGCTTACTCATCATTTATATCTATAAGGAGTGCAAGAATAACGTTCCCTAAACCGGAGAACAATAAATAAAAATTGTTTCTGGCCTTTCATACAGCGAGCATTCCTCCAAGGCTTCACATGCTTGTCGAGAATGTTGAATGCGGCTTTTGTTGGTCCTTCAATGGCCACTGTGGAGACTTCAATATGCCATTCCTGCAGGAATGGAAGAGCATTGTAAAGCCAGGGGTCTTAGTTGGTCTAGAAATCTTGGCTCCATAGCAGTTCTCCCTAACCAGGAACTCGTTACTCGGTTAGCCCAGGTATCTGTTCGATCGTGGCACAGTGAAACCCTTGCTTATATCATTACCTTTAACTGGGCGCTGACAGCTTCTCGTTGAGACGCCGAATGCTTCAATCGTATCAGTTCCTGTACAACCAACATGCAGATAACAGACCATTTTATGTAATTGACTGTCTCTTTTATGGCAGTTGCTTTCCTGGCTAGCATTGCTGTAGGATTCATCGTAATCTGTTCAAAGAGGCACAGTTACCCGTCATGTGATAGTGAATCTTCTTGATCTATAAGTACTGCTTGGTGGACATGATCTTGCCAAATGTCAATACAGCCTCCCAATTATTTTTTCAGCCTTTTGTATTACAGAATAATAGGCCCGACTTACCATCAAGCTATCAAAATGAAACCGAGTTCGTTTATAACTCTCTCTTGTAGTGAAGTCCCCAAACACTGACCGGTGTGCTATAGTTTCATCCCTCTTAACTACCTTGGTCGCCGGTAACATGGTTAGTGCCAAGTACAACGTCGAAATTCCCGCTGATGCGGTCTGGGTCACCAACTGGGACGAGTTACATGCTGCCCCTCAATTCGGAGGAGTTCTCCTGCCCAAATACGGAGGCTTTGTCATTGAAGTCGATGAGAAAATTGTCTTGGCTACAGATGAGAAAATGAGCAAGGAAGTGCTCGACTTGCTCACGGATTTGGAGAAGAGTGAGACACAGCCTGACGACGAGCAGACGACTCCCAACAAGAGAGATCTGGAAACTCGAGGTTATGGAAATAGATGTTCTCACCCTCCTTGCTTTGGTCCGGGGCTTTGCTCTCAGTACTCTCATTGTCATGTGTGTGCTGGACTTACTGGGGCGGTTTTCAAGAGGGGCAGGTGCATTTGAACCTGACATCTACTTGGTTGGAATTCAAGGGGGCATCAAAACCTTGCGGCGTTTTGGCTGCACAAACAACCATTTTTGAGACTATTTGACTAGAAATCGACAGATTCGGGATTTTGGCAATGGAACTTTTGAGAGTTGCGCGTGGCAACCAACATATTATGTTATTAGATCGTGCCATTTTCTTCCTATTGCTGGTTAGTTGATTGTTGGTTGTTTCTATAACAGGGATTAGACGACACTTATCACATGTCGACCTGAACGATGCAGCATGGCCCATATAATCAACAAGACCGACCCCACTCGTTGCATCTAGAATCTCATGCTCAAGGTCAAGACAGCTTTCACTTTTGACTTTTTCCCTTTCATCAAGTTTCCACAGATCATGTCTCAACCCAGCACGGAGATTCACGAATCAACCAATCCTGGAGCAACATGCTGCAGCAGCGAAGAGGGCATCGCCTACAAAGACCTCTCCCCAGAGCAAAAAGAAATAAGCGACATTCTACGCAACATGGATCGCGATCCTGATCTGATGGGTCTAGTAGACCTCGGCAAAGACGGAGTTTTCCGCTTCCTTGATGCTGATCGCAACATTCACTACGCCGTCCCTCTCCGGCCTGCACTTATCAAAGCCCTTATTGATCGTCTCCCTTATGACCCAGAAGTCGAAAAGTTCTGGCGTGGTGTCGATGGGACGAAAGTGCCTGAAGAGCAGTGGTATAATCCGCCAGAGGGAATACTCCCTCCGCCATTGACGGAAGATGAGAGGAGGGAGGAGAAGGAGTTAATGGATAAGAACAAAGAGAAAATTGACAAGATTCGGGAGGACTTAAAGAATGGGATTAACCGCGAACGTCTTGTATTTATAGAATCGGATAACAAGCTTCAATAGATCTGGTGTCGCACCGAGTTATCGTTGAATTGCGCTGCTAGATGACTGCTAGGTGAGATAAAAAAGTCCAGGGCTTTATTACCAGTGCCAAAAGGGCTACTTTATCTGTCCTTGTAATCGGCACTTTCGGACGGCATTAATTCCTAAGGATCCGATCCTTCAAGGGGTTAGCAATTGAGGGAATGTAGAAAGTGAACAGACAGAGGCTGGCAACGACAAGAGAACACCTTTAACGAGTTGCAAAGACATATTGGGAAGGCTGGTTCCATTCACAGTGGAAATGGCAACATATGCAGTTATATTAGCATCCTTTATATCTAAGTTCTCTCGGCTGATTTAAGCTCTCAGCCACAAGTTCTATCCCTAGTCCGATATCTATGTATGTATATTGTAATTATTCACATAAAGGCGTGCGTGTTATGCATAAAATTCCAGAAAGTACCCGACAAGCAACCTCCAACAAATAAAAAGGTTCGAACAAAGGAGAATACCATAAAAGAGCTGTGTTAGTCAGACTAAAATGAAACATCAAATACATGATCAGTGTTGAGGCATTAAAATGCATTATGGTGGGATGGAAAGCTCAGAAGTCCCAGAGTGTGCCGAAAGCGTGCATTCCCTCTGTACCAATCACTAACTGTCAGCGAAACTCACCAGACGCTCAGAATAGGGTTGTACAAACCTTCACGGCATCCTTGCATCATTTCATCATTCCCCTTCATGTTGGACGTGATGAAGATGACCTCGGCACCGAAATTGTTCCAGGTATCTCTCAGTAGCTGCATTGTATCTGGTCGGCCGCCGCGTTCCTTGGTGTCCCATAAAATCATTCGATCAGGCTCGATATTGTCGTGGATGAGCCGTGAAATTGTCGATCCAAACGTATTTAGCTGGTCGGAGCCGATCCAGATGAGAAACCTTGAGCAGAGGATTAATCATAGATCAGCTGGTTGGAATCGTGGTAATACGTACCAGTTTTTGCTTTGGATGCATGTTGATAGAGCGGCACCAATACCTGTGCCCGTACAGACGCGAATACCCCTGTTGAACATGGCAGAAGCGTGTCCGATTCCGGCTACAAAGTGTCAGTACAGTCGATAACACAAGTTACCTAGCAAGTAGCCCATACCGAATTTCAATTCTCGTGTCCAGATCTTTGTAGGTGGGTTCGCAACAAGGCTCTTGGTGAAATCACCTTGGACACCACAAACCATGTAATGATATGGAGAATGGCGTCCTTCGCTGATGATACCGAAAGCGTGGTATTCCATCAAAGCGGAACGGCCGATGCGTCCAAGAAGCCCTTGCTGCATTCCCCTGTCAAACCGGAGGACGGCAACCTTGGACGATGGTATCTCTACCTCGACGGGGACCTGTCGAATTATGACCCATGGGAGAGCGATCCTGAACAATGCAAGTTTCAGTAGTTATTCTTTTTGGTAGGCTGGCAAACTGGGGCCTCTTACAAGATCGTCATGAAAATGGTAAACCAGATGTTTTCTGTAGTAATCAAGGACTGCGCATTGGAATTGTCTTTACCACTGTTGGCATCGTAGGAGTTGCTCAAAACGACAAAAGACCAGGTCGCCTATACCCCAGTCAATACGGTGAACAGAAAAAAACGATGATTGATGACTTACAGCCAAGCCTAGCCAGCCAGCGAATCGGTGGTATCTCTCAAAGATATTGTGATGATTACTGAGGCGGGATGTCAGTACAATACGTCCGGCGGAACAGGCTTGGACTCACTTTCGAACCCACGGGATTGCGCTCAGCACGGATGTTATAATAAAGACAACGGTGACTATCCCAGTGATGAGAACAGCGGGTTCACGAATGCTGCGGTGACTGAGAATCTGGATGATATAATACACTAGCCAACTACAATATGTCAGTCTAGGTCATGGATGAGGATGAGGGCTTCTTACGCAGTACCGGAGAGTGCACAACCCGAGTGTACACCTCCAACATGTTGCAGAAACGAAGCTGCCATCAACTTCATTCTCAGCGGCGCCCACTGTTCGACGTTAGCCTCTCAATCCACGTACATTAGTAATTACATACACTTCTCAGTCCGTAGATGAAGGCCATATATAGTATTCGGAAAAACAACTCATTTCGCATCAAGATAGCAAAAAGCAAGTTTCCCAGAACCATAGAACCAAGATGGTCCTGCGCATATTGGAACTGGCCGACACTGGTAAGGATAATACCAACAAGGTTGAGAGTTACAACGAAAATGAACAACTTCTTATACGTGTTGAACCACAGGAAGAATAGTGTACTTTTTCTGGGTTCTTGTTTCTTTGGAGGCGGCGGCGTGGTTTTCTGCTTGGGGAGAATTGGTAAGGAGGAGTCTGATTTGCTGTAGTTGTGAAAAGACGACATCGATTGGGTGACAGACGACATGTTACCGTCATGGGTTGGTGGGAAAGCTGTAAGGTGGCCATTCGCTTTGTCGGATGCATAGACTTTGCTCAGTGGTACAAGTGCCATTCCCGAAGTATCGTGCTGGCCTTTCTCTGCATCGTTGAACTCGCGGTTGAAGCTGCTCTCCGACGGAGTTTCGTGATAGGGGAAGCGGAAGCTCATGGTGATAGGGAGTGAGGTGAGTTGAAGGTGGATTGGGGAGTGATCAGGACGAGCTAAAACCCGGATACAGATCTAAGAGACTCTGTTATCGATGATATCACTGACGACCTTGGGACGATTTGGCCGGGATATATAATATATAACTATTTTCTCTAACCCCTGAACCGAGGCTGCTGCCTCAGTGCTAAGCAAGTAAAGTTTCATGCGTCATCCGTCTACGTGTAGGCCACGGACTGCGTGAAGTGGGTGATCTGATATGCTATTTAAAGTTGACCACGGCCGAGAACCGAAGTCCATCGCGTGCCTTTCACTCGTGTTTTGCAGTAGGCTGAGGCTCTGGGCGCATACACACGCCGACAGGGGAGCAGAGCCGCCCCCACGGGGGATTCAGTAGCCGGATAGACGGGGCCGATAGACCAGGGTGACGATCCCAAGGAGGCGGTCCATCGTCCGATGTCTTTATCCATCTCAGATACAGCGCTTATTATAGCCATATACAGCCATTTAAGCGAGAAAAAAACGCCAGTGATACTTTGACAGCACGTATAGAGTGTTTGTTTCGTTGCATTTAATTTAATCTGCCGATGTGGGATGACGGGGTCCGAGGAGGGCAATTATACGATGTAGCATTTAAAGGTTGAAGTAAGACTTTAGAGCCCTATTGATGTGACCCCGAATTCCGACAGGTCCACTGCTGCAAATGCCGGGCTGCTATTCCGTATTCAGGAACACGAAACGGAGAACCCCACCCAACGTTAAATAATGGATACATAAGATTTGGATCCGCGTTTATAAAATGCAAATTTCATCAGACGAAAAGCAATAGGTCATTTATTGGGAAGTGGAGCTTAGGGGAACTCTATATAATTAACAAACTTGTTGATTCTAAGAGATACCAGTCAAAGGCAGCGTCTTTGTACGAAGTACGTGTGAGTTCAAGGTACATGTAACTGAAAATGATGCCATCCAAGAGTTACAACACCTGTTCCCATACAACATCGATGTCCTTAAAGTTACCTGCTAGCCGGCACGTTTTCTCTGTTTTTGTACGTTTCATCCGGCGGCCCGTTAGAAGGGCAAAGGCCCCTGCTAGGCGGAACTCTATAGGTGCTGTTGTATTATACCCGGAAACGGCAGATGTAGCTTGGGCCGTCAGGTACCGACGCATGCATGCAGATCAAACGCCAGCCCCGTTTATGCCTTGTCGCTCAGCCTGAGATACTGATAACTGACCTATGTATAGCTAGCCCTACGGTAGCTTCGTAAAGTATACCATTTGATACGCCAGCGCAGGCCGTGGGACCCGAGGGACCATGCAGCTGAAACATACGTCATGAGTGTTTAGGAAGAGCGTCGCAGTAGAAACAATTAAGGCGGTCATAGTGATGCTCTGACGAATAGGGAGCTGCATGATTCCGCTGTTACCGAGGATGTCGTCTGCAAATGCAGGTAGGAGAAGTAGGCAGTAACTGCTCGAGGTCCGTGGTGTTCCGGGAGGCAGCCGGGGGTTGCAAAGAAGAGGCTCATTCGGTGATATGCCGCTTCTGAGCTGTAAGCCATTCGGTACCCGCGCATCAAAACAACGTGTGCCAGGAGGCTCAGCAGTTTACCTTCGAGATGCCATTCTCACACTTCCTTTAGGCGAGGGGCTACCTTTTTTTGCAATGGAAGACATTGGCTGTGTGCAACTCCATTATTTCTGCGCTAACTTTCATTCGGACTCTGAAGAGGGCTTTCGTTAAGAATCAATGTGGATATCATCCTAGCGCCCGTCGAGTCCCAGTGGTACGGGTGCCAGGAACTACCGTTGATCTGCACTATCAAACCTTGACACCATGAAAGCTCCGTACCTCCTGCGGATCTTTGATTGCCTATGGGTCTGAAGACATATCCTCGCCTCCGCTTAGCAATTCGGTGATCTTTCGTAATGCTTGCTCATCTCCTTGTCTTGTTTCAGCTATCTCCTCGCCAACCCATCCTCGTGTGTATCCGCCCCCGAAATCAATCAGCCAGGCATCCTCCTTATCGTCGATAACAATGTTGCTAGGCTTTCCATCTCCCCACACCAATCCATTCTGGTGAAGAAGCTCTATAGATTGTCGGATCTGGCATGCCCATTTCTGTCGTTTCTCGGCTGCAGCAGCGGCAATGACATCGCTGAGTCTGCGTCCAGGCACCCACTGCCGAAGGAATCCCAGGATCTGCTGGGTGTCTTTGTGGTGGATATACCCGAGAAGTTGAGGCACCTTTATTGCTTTTGGTGGGAAGACTTTCAGCATCTCGCTAAGACGTTTGAGTTCTTGCGCCTCGCTGGTACCAAAGAGTCCACCTGCTCTACCACGCGACTTGCAGAACATGGCTCGGCCTTGCACTTGAACAGCAGCCGTAATAGTGCCAGCACCATGTATAAATACCTCGGTCACGGAGATATCCTCGGGCGTAAAATGAGGTATATCGGGGTTGAGTTCTAAATCTTCGTCTATGCTTTGGTCAAAGCCAGAATCAATATCGATAGTGGTATATGCTTCGCTGGAGTCGATAGTTTTGAGAGAGACACTGCTTGTAGGAGCAGGGGCCTCCAAACGGAAGTGAAAGGAAGGAGGAAATAGGTAATGATATAGAGATTTGCTCAAAGCCTGTTCATCTTGCGAAGATATCAGCTGATGAAAAAGAGATCTCCCAGCGTCAAGAATCACAGCAAGGGCCTCATCCACAAGCTCCTCATACTCGTCGTCGTCCTGACACGCGGTAGCTTTCTCTATGACATCAATAAAATGGTCCTGTAGAGGACGATCTTTGTGTTCTTGCGTGTCTTTTGAGGACGATCCGTTGCTAGGAAATATAGAGACAGAAACTAAACAGCCATTAAATCCAAAAACCATATCTGCGCCATCTCCAGTACCACTATGAAGTTCGTAGACAGCGATATCATCTATTGCCTGTGTTTCCACCATGCTGCCTATTTTCCGACGTCATGAGGTGCGTTGTGTAGCTTGTTATGTGGTTGTGAGGATGCTTGGGCGGGGTATAACTAGGCATGAACCAAAGGATAAGCACGCATGGTGAAGGAAGTGATATTCAAGTAGATTAGTCAGCGGCCTTACTACGGAAAAGCCATGGCCGACATTGCAAAACAGGTATTCCGGTACAGCACTGATTGCAAACATCAGAGCAAACCGGTTATGGATCACATCGAACGTCAGCTCTTCCCGATGCCAAGCAGCATCTACTGACCGGTGAAAGATTGCCAAGAGATAATCTCCAATAGCGCATCTTTCAGCTGCGCCATTTCCTGCCACTGAGACAATGTTAGACATGGAAATACCAACTTTGGGAAAAGGTGCATAAAGGATGTGGAGTTAGTTCCAGCTTTTGGTACGAGATCGCCATAGAAACAAGCCACTCCGATTGCCGTCCGAGGCAGCCGTGTGTACTAAGTTTGCGCAATAAACTCTAACGAACTGCCGACGCTGGGTTATAAAAGAACACGCGGCCGCAATTCAATAACATGAGGGTTCTTCCCTGGACCGATGAGCAATTGATCTTTTCTGTCGAAGCTCTTTAATTTGTATTCACTTTCGGAGATCTCTAATTTATCCCGGTTACAATGGTTTCTGAGAATACTGCAACTCTACCCTCAAAAGGTCGGTGATTGCTTGAACGTATGGTCGGACTTCCCCATTTCATTGACTGACTATCATCCAGTCTGGGCAACGTTGGTAACGAATGATGATTATCTCAAGGGCGTGCTGACGCTCAACTATCGTCTGAGATGCGTCAAGTCAGAGTACCCGCTGCTGGTTCTATACACCAGCACATTATCTCAAGCCAGCGTCGAGTCTCTTAAGCGCCGGGGTATAGCAACCCTCCAAGTACGACGACTCGCTCCAACAACAGCAAAGGAATACATCGATGATCCACGATTCAACGAGTGCTGGACGAAGCTGATCGCCTTCTCACTCACAGACTACTCACGAATAGTCCTGCTTGACTCGGATATGCTTCCTCTCCAGAGCATGGATGAGCTCATGGACCTTGATCTCGATTCCCCGTTATTAAGCGGATCTGAAGATACAGAGCGCAGCAAAAGGGTCTTTGCTGCTTGTCATGCATGCACTTGTAATCCACTACGAAAGCCGCACTATCCGCCGAATTGGAAACCTGAGAATTGCGCCCTGACAACCCAGCACGTTTCACCGGACACAGCACAAACTACTGGAGCAGATAACTCAACAGGCTTGGGCAAGCTCAACAGCGGACTCTTAGTCATGAACCCATCGAAAGTCATTTTCGATCAGATCGTCACAAAGATGAATGAGGCTGGTCTCGACTATCAATTCCCAGATCAGGACCTCTTGGCGGATGTCTTCAAAGGTCGTTGGGTAGCGTTACCGTATATCTACAACGCCTTGAAGACGATGCGGGATCCAAGCGTGCACGGAGCTATATGGCGTGATGACAAGGTCAAGAACGTTCATTACATTCTCAGTCCCAAGCCATGGGATGAGCTAGGGCCTGATGGGACGTGGAAGGGAGATAAACCTATTCATAAGTGGTGGATCGACGCGTACAAGTCAATGCGTGCAGAGGAAAAGACACTCGGAATCTCGTAAATGCATGTCACTTCACCTGTCTGAGCATTGGGTAGAGCTAATCGAGGTATAAAGATAAAGCTCTTGACACATTACAATCCCTGCCGTGTAATCATTTACCTCTTATCTACTCAAGCTGACCACGGAAAGCTTCAATAGCTTTGATCATGCGCTCCAGACCCAAGTGCAGATATGTCTTTTCATGAGCAAACACGATTCGAAACCAGCCAGGTACATCGCTTCCAAAATCAGCACCGAGAGCCAAGAAGATCTTGTGCTTTAACAAGGTGTCTTGCAAACTCGACTCAAGAGTCCTCTGTCCTCTGTCAAGATCTTCTCTGTGTTCTTTCTGCAAAGTAACGTCGATCTGTGCGCGCAAGGGCTGGAATAGATCAGCCCAGACGAACA